GCAGCCCTCTCCTCCTGCAGTCAGTGCAGTGGAGGGGGTGCGGCCGGCGCAGGGGGTGCACAGGCGCCCAGCACCTCCCCGCTGGCCTCGCAGTCCTCCTACAGCCTCCTGAGCCCGCCCGAGGGTGCCCGTGAGCGCACGGACTATGTCAACTCAGCCTTCACCGAGGATGAGGCACTGGCCCAGCACTGTCCGGTGGAAAAGCCGCTGCGGCACCCCCCACTGCCTGACGCTGCTGTGGCCGTGAAGCGGCCGCCCCCTTACCAGTGGGACCCTGTGCTAGGGGAGGACGTTTGGGTGCCTCAGGAAAGGACAGCGCAGACTGGAGGGCCCCACGCCCTGAAACTGCCCTCCCTGGTCGTAGGTCAGAGCCAGCACCTGGACGTGCCCCGAGTGCCCTTCATCTCCCCCAAGTCTCCCACCAGCCCTACTGCCACTTTCCAGACGGGCTATGGGATGGGAGTGCCCTATCCAGGAAGCTATAACAACCCCCCTCTGCCAGGAGTTCAGGCTCCCTGCTCAAAAGACTCCCTGTCCCCCACACAGTTTGCACAGCAGGAGCCCGCTGTGGTCCTGCAGCCAGCCTACCCTTCCAGCCTGTCCTACTGCACCTTGCCCCCCATGTACCCCGGAAGCAGCACGTGCTCAAGTTTACAGCTGCCATCCATCGCCTTGCACCCCTGGAATTCCTACAGCGCGTGCCCGCCCATGCAGAACCCCCAGAGCACTCTCCCCCCCAAGGCACACTTGGTGGTGGAGAAGCCCCTCGTGTCCCCACCACCACCCAGCGACCTCCAAAGCCACCTGGGCACAGAGGTGATGGCAGAGGCCTCAGACAACTTCCAGGAGGTCCTCTCTCTGACGGAAAGCCCGGTCCCCCAGCGGACAGAGAAATTCGGGAAGAAGAACCGGAAGCGCCTGGACAGCCGAGCGGAGGAAGGGAATGTCCAGGCCATCACCGAGGGCAAAGTGAAGAAGGAGGCGCGGACGCTGAGTGACTTTAATTCCCTGATCTCCAGCCCCCGCCTAGGGAGAGAGAAAAAGAAAGTGAAGAGTCAGAAAGACCAGCTGAAGTCGAAGAAGTTGAATAAGACGAACGAGTTCCAGGACAGCTCGGAGAGTGAGCCAGAGCTGTTCATCAGCGGGGACGAGCTGATGAACCAGAGCCAGGGCAGCAAGAAGGGCTGGAAGAGCAAGCGGAGCCTGCGCACAGCTAGCGAGCTGGACGAGTTTAAGTGCCGGAAAGCCAGCGAGAGGGAGGACGGGCGGCTGGGCAGCCAGGGCTTCGTGTACGTGATGGCCAACAAGCAGCCTCTCTGGAACGAGGCCACCCAGGTGTACCAGCTGGACTTCGGGGGGCGCGTGACCCAGGAGTCGGCCAAGAACTTCCAGATCGAGCTGGAGGGGCGGCAGGTAAGGGTGTTCCCGGGCCTGGCCGGAATCGAGGCTTCTCTGAGTTTTTAAAACCAGGTGAAGGGAATCGGTGCTTTGGCCTTTGAGGATCATTTTCCAAAGGCCACCCGTGAAATGTGGAAACCAACTGACCCTCTTAGATGGGGGCCAATTCTCTCCCCCCTCGGACCCTTTGCTTTTCTTAGTTAAATCAGTGGTCACCTGTCACCTTTTTATGCCAGTAAATGTTTCACAGCTGAGCCACATAGTAGGGTTTAGTTACATTCGCTTTTTTATTGTATAGGTTTTTTTTCTAGACATAATAATTACCCAGTTGTGTTTGGCTTATTTCTCTATGTATTTATTGCTAAGTCATTCCCCAGTCCTGTGGCAGGATGTAAATCTCCTCTCAGTACAGTTAAACTCGGTGGGTAATTTGTCAGTTCTTTCTGCTCCAACCCAGAATGCTGTCTCTAGCCCTGCGGCATAGCTGTGGTGCTGGGACTACCCTTCTCTACTATCCTGGGAATTCCCTTCACTTCTCATGTTTAAATCCCATTTTCATTCATTCACCCAACGAATATTTATTGAGCACCTACTATATGCCTGGCAAGCTTCCGAGCAGGGAGTTGGCAAACTGGCCCACGGGCCAATCTGGACGGCTTCCTGTTTTCATAAATACATTTCTAACTGCTGTGAGCACAGAAATGAAAGCAGTGGGGTCAACAGAAAGGCCCCGGCCTCATGGAGTCTACAAAAATGGAAGAAAGACCACAAATAAAAAGCATGTAATATGACAGTTATGTGATGGTCACAGCAAGTACTGAAATGACAAAGGAAAGCAGGCTGGGAGGTGAGCATGATGGGAAGGAGGTGTGCTGTGTTTGTCCCTTTCTGAGCAGTGACATTTGACAATGACAGTTGATGTTCCTCTTAAGCCTCTTTTAGCTTATAGATTCTTCTTTCTGCTTTCTCCTATCTGTCCCCTTGGTGAGGAAACCACTTCATTTGACCTGTGGAGCTTCCCACGCCCTGAATTTTGCTCCCTGTCTCCCCGCTGCATTGTTTAATATATCCCTCCATTCCTTTGTTTCTGACAAACTCATAGTTAGAATTAGAAGCCTCCCAGAGTCACTTTTGTTGGCAAAAATAACTCCTAGACCAGCGGTTCTCAACCTGTGGGCCGAGACCCCTTTGGTGGTCGAACGACCCTTTCACAGGGGTCGCCTAAGACCATCCTGCATATCAGATATTTACATGACGATTCATAACAGTGGCAACATTACAGTTACGAAGTAGCAATGAAAATAATTTTATGGTTGGGTCACAACATGAGGAGCTGTATTTAAAGGGCCAGAAGGTTGAGAACCACTGCTCTAGACTGTGCTGTCTGCCTCCATCACGAGCCGCACTGACCTGGTTGCCCTGTTCCACCTTGATTTCTTACAATGTCTTTGCTTCGATGCCCTCCTCCAGGTGATGCAGTTTGGAAGGATCGATGGCAATGCATACATTCTGGACTTCCAGTACCCCTTCTCCGCTGTGCAGGCCTTCGCAGTGGCCCTGGCCAACGTGACGCAGCGCCTCAAATGAAGAGACTGGCTTGGGGAGCAGAAAGAGACAGAGGAGCCTTTTCAGAGAGGCCTGATCACAGATGGTAGAGGAGCCCGCAAGGGGCTGGGTGCCTGAGGACCAGAAGACAGGAGCAAACTGGAAAAGTCTCTCAGGCCCAGGGGAGGGCACTGACCTTTAGCGTTGTCGTTTGTTTGGGCTTTTATTATTCTTTATTGTCTTTCTTTTTAATCAAACAAAACAATACAGAAGAGAGGTGTTTGGAAGCAAAGATACCAGGCACCTGGTGTTTTTTTGGAAACATGATTGTGGTAATGTCCCACTGGGCTTGCTCATGTCAGCTACACACACGGGTCCTTCGGAAGGAAGACAGACTGCATTATAGCCTGCTATTCTTTTAGACATACGGGGTGTGCATTCTTCTCATTCTCCACAACATCACTAGTGTACAATCAAAACTCTTTTTTTAAAAAACACACCCAAAACCCTGAAGATACAGGTTCTCTTGAGGGACAACATTTAATTCGCACATGTTAATGTTACTCCCCTAAAGGTGACTTGATCAATGAAGGGTATTTTGGCAGACACACTCTTTGACTAATAAAAGTAGGCTTTCTACAGGGGCGCTGTTCCCAGGTGTGAGTAGGATGTGCTCCTGATGGTGTGGGGGAAGGGATGACGGGCGAGGAGGAAAATCCCGCACGTGCACGCATGGCGAGCTCCGTAGTGTGACTTGAAATAGTACAAGGGCTATGCTCCTCCCTGGAGGATGTTGACATGAAGACTCCACTAAGTTTTATAATTTATCATCATTCCATGGGTTCAGTCTGACTGGTTTGAGGAGAAGGTAGGGGAGAAATGTGGCCAGGTCCCAGGGTGCAATGGGGGCTGTAGTTTTCTCAGCTGGAGTCGGGAGTCACTGGGCACCCTCTGGCTGAGAAGTAACATTTACTCCCTGTCTTTTATTGTTGCCTCTGAAATGTGACAGTAGACGTTATCCTTCCCATCAGACAACACTATTCTACACTTTCTTTCTCTAAAAATGCTAACGATGCTGATTTGAAAGCGCTCCTTTCCTCTTTCAGCTACATTAAAATTCAGTTGACTAGAAATGTGTTTCAACAGGTTAGAAATGTAAGCAAAAATGTTTAAGCATTTGCCAGGGTGTCAAGAGGCAGAGTTGTGGTCATCTCTTGCCCAGAAGTCCCACCATCTTCTCCAGGAAAACAGTTGTTTATTAACTGTGCAGACTATTTATAGAGATGAACCTCTGGGGCAGCATGGGTAAAATTGTAGTATTTAAGGCAGTTACTGGTTAATTGCAGAAGAAAAATCAACTGAGATTATCTTTTCCCACCTCACCCCGTCCTCAGCAGATACCCTGGGCAGTATTCAGCCCTGGTGACAAGACCCAGTGCATTGTTCTCAGTTGTTTGTATCTGTGAGGTGTTTAGGGCAGGAGCTCAAGAACTATCCTATGTTTGGATTTTGTTTGAAAACAGAAAAGTGGAAAACTACAAAAAATTATTTTTTAAAAAAAATTTTAATTCCATGTTTTAGTTTTGAAATATGTTCTTAATTCCCTGTTTTGGTTTAAAAATTAGGAAAGAAACTGTCCCATTCCTTTCCCAGAACAAGATGGCATCCTTCATGCACCACCCTCTCCAGCCCCAAAGAAACAGATAAGGTTTTAAATATGGCGAAGGGCATCTCCCAGCTAGTTCCACCTGACATTTCAAAACAGTGGACCTGAACCTGATTCTTTGGTGGCTAAATTCTTCCAAAAAGAATTTAGTCATGTGTTCAGATTTATCTAATTCTTTTATATGAGTTTTTGTAGCTTGGTATGATGTTTCAGCGGTTATTAGCTGTGCAATGTGGTTATAGCCTATTTCTAGAATAATTTAAATGCAATTTTCTGTTTTATTGCCCAAGAGGTCATTATTTATCCTGCTTTTATAGTGTTCCTAGAAACTACTTCACTACTATTTACTGGTGAGTTATGCCCATTTTATAATTTACTTAGAAAAACAGAATGTAACGACTTACTTGGTAGCAGTATATTTTGCTGCAAGAAATAAAGAAGATATGATGGGGGGTTTGCTGGACAGTTTGTAACTTTTTCTGATTGGGAAAAACATTTCTATTAATCCTTTAAGAGTAATTTTTTCTTTGCTTTTTGAAGTAGTGATTACGTATGAGATAACATATCCTAAAATATTTCCCCTCCTTTTGAAAATGTTATTTTTAATTAAAAATAAAAGGTGATATGAAATGAGAAGAGACTTTTTAAGATTAGAGTAGGTGGCAAAGGAAGGGATTATTAGTAATAAGTTTTAAAAGTTCTGATCGGTTTTTGAGATATAAAGACCATGAAAGGGGCTACTTTTTAGAACTTCTCTTAATAAGAGGAAATATTGGGGGAAATCCTTGGAATTGATGCTACAAATACATATGTAAAGAGAATGTATTGTAGCAAATAATTAACTAAACTTCTTAATTCTTAGACCACTCCCCAAAAGGCATTTTCCCCACGTGGAGACAGAGGCCTCGTCCTGGATGTTTTGCAAACGTAGTGAGCCTCTGAATTAGCGCTGCTCTGCTCACCCGGCCCAGGAGCAGGTAATTTCAGGTGCCAGGTCTACTTAAACAGATGTCTGCAGCAGTGTTCTGTCTTCTAAGCTAATGGTGATGCCTTCACTTATTTTAAAAATAGTTTTCATTCAGTCATTCTCAATTTGTTAAGCGCTACTAAAGGCAGTACTTTAAGCAGCAGAATTCTACATACTTTATGTTTATTGGTAGCAATTTATGAATATTAAGATACCTCATTGAATCCCTACATATAAAAATACTAGAGGCCTGGTGTATGAATTCATGCACCAGTGGGGTCCCTCAGTCTAGCCTACAGGATTGAGCCAAAATTGGCTCTCCTACATCCCCCAAGGGGTCCCGGATTGCAAGAGGGTGCAGGCTAGGCCAAGGGACCCCACCAGTGCACGATCGGGGTCAAGGAGGGACACGGGAGGTTGACTAGCCGGGGAGGGACGGAAGGAGGGCTCCAGGGCATGTCCAGCCCATCTCACTCAGTCCTGATTGGCCAGACCCCAGCAGCATCTTCCCCCTGGTGGTCAGTGCACGTCATAGCGAGCAGTTGAGTGGCCTTAGTATACTAGTATCATTAGCATATTACACTTTGATTGGTTGAACGGACAACCCGATGACTGAACACTTAGCATATTAGGCTTTTATTATATAGGATTAGCCCAGTAAACAGTCAACTACATAAAAATCCATGCCTTTTTGAGGGAAGTAGTGTATTAACAAACAAACAAAACTTTAAATTTGTCTTAACTCTAGCCTCATCAAACCAAAGGCATAGATTTTTATACAGTCCATCCACTGAATGTATATTTTGAAAAAAATTGATGTAAAGGAGGCAGAGAATGTCAAAGCTCGAATGGTAGTAGATGTCAGGATCATGCAGGTTAGTATTTTTCATCCAAGGCCATTGCTCCCTTGTTGAGTGTCCCACGGGGACATGTGAAAACTCGTACATTTATCCTGTAATCAGAGCAAAAAGTCAGGAGACCCAGGATCAAGCCTGATCCGCCACAAAGTTGGAGGGTGACCTTGGACCTCCACTTGTCCATCTGTAAAATGAAAGGGATGAGCTGGACAATCTAAACTCCTGTCCAACTCTAACAGCTCAAGAGCTCAAAATGAGTTCACTCCACTTTACATATTCGGAAGGTATGTTTCAGAACATTGCCGTTCTGTAGAGATATTTCTTGTCCATGTTAATGAGCTATCTACTGAATGTAAATCAGGGCATTTTAAGTAATATCCTTCGAAGATTCACCTCTAGAAAAACGCACTTTTCGTAAAATTACACAAAAGCACCAATTCCAGATAAGACAGGAACCTCCCCTTGAGTCCGCCTTGCTCAGTGGCCGCCCTTGGGAACAGCCCTGAAATAAATCACCACTTGCCCCAAAGACCATCGAGTACATCGGAAAAAAAGACAGAGTGTAGGCCTAGGCCCTCTTGAATTCTTGAGTGAGCTCTGCAGTGTTCAAGTGCAGGTTTCTGGGAAAACAGCCCATTGTGTTCCTGTGTGGACCATCCATCACTTGGCCAAGTCAACGGTTGTGAACAAGTTAGTTGAGACAAAATGTGTCAAAAATGTTGTTTGAGTTCCTGGGATTTTGTAACAGCACACATCTCAAAACTCTTCACCATTCGTGTATTTTCTTATCTTTGGCTGATAAAACTCTGAAGGGTTGTGGCTTATTTTGTTTTCATTTCTTCGGCTGTGTGCAATTTTCTTGTAACTTCACTTGTACCTATATTTTCTGTTTACAAGTTCTTTTAAAGGGGAGGGATAGGGTTCTATGATCTCGTTTATTGTAGATAAAATTTTTTCGTGTTGTAGAAAAGCATGGGTTACGTGTTTGACTGAAAAAGGCACTGTATTCTTTACCAAAGGGGTGTTGTTTTTGCATTTGTTTATAAATGCATTACTTTGGTACTGTAAATTTGGACATAATTTCTGAGTTTATTACTACTGTCATTTTCTTTCTCCTTTTTTTTTTTAACTGTAAATGCACGATGCAGGTGCACAGGTCCCAGACCAAACCAGACCACCAGCATGTTCTTGTCCAAACCTCGGGAATGGTGCACTGCCCCATGCGCCTCGGTTCCGTGGTGTTGGTTCGCTTTCAGTTCAGCACCCTGCTTTGTGTTACTTTCCAAGCAGTATCCGTTGAGATTATCAATTGCGTTCTAAAGAGCTCACCTGGTTTGCCTCTCTTCTTAGGTATTTTGTGTATCAGATTGTGAGGGAGGTGATCTAGAAGGCATTCATGGTTTGCATTCCAAATGGTGTGGTTTGTCCAAGTTATTTTCTGTCTTTATTGAGATGGATTAATTTTCTTATTTTTTTCTTGATGATTTGAAGTTGTAAGAGTTGTCCAGCTATTGCTTAATAAAATTTTGCAGACCAAAAAAAAAAGTCAATTGCTTGTGTGCAGAAACTGAAAAAAAAATCAATTGCTGTGTGCAGAAACTGCTGCTCCCCGTTGGCATCCCCCCTCCTCCCATTGCTGCTTTGGTCCCTGGTTGTTGCCCTGAGGTATTACCATCAGCGCTCTTTCTGAGAGGTCAGGGGTGTGCTGTCTTCCTGATGAGCTGGTTTGAGTTTGCTTGTTCTTGTTTGTTTAAAGAGGACCCACTCAGGATGCAGCTGTCACAGCACCTACACAGTCACCGACACCTTCTCTGTTGCTCTGTGGGATGGTTACTAAAACCAGGTTTGAGCAGTTCCTCTAAAGCAGGGGTCCTCAAACTACGGCCGGCAGGACACATGCAAATACAAATATTGTATTTGTTCCCATTTTGTTTTTGTACTTCAAAATAAGATATGTGCAGTGTGAATAGGAATTTGTTCATAGTTTTTTTTTAAACTATAGTCCGGCCCTCCAACGGTCTGAGGGACAGTGAACTGGCCCCCTGTTTAAAAAGTTTGAGGATCCCTGCTCTAAAGTGCTAATGTAGCTGTTAATTGTCATTAGTAATGTGTCTTTGTGCACCTCCTCACTCTGCCCAGGGGAGGGAGTCGGGCTGGGAGGCTCATCTGTAAATACTAGTTCACGGGTACATTTAACAACTACCCCTTTGCTCTTTTCAAAGATAAAAATAGATACCCAATGACTCGGGCTTTAGGAGACAGAACCACAAACCACTGTCAAGTCTTATATTCTAAGCATGCACTAAGTTTTAAAATAACCATCGGACTATAAATCTGTGCTTTAAATAGTAGCAGTCATACAAGGCTAACTGACCTGAATTTTGTAGAAGTTTCAAAATACACCTCTTATTATGAAAGTTTGTGAATTTCAAGGTAATATGCATTGTATCTTTAATCAGTTAAACCAGGTAGCAAGGACACCTTGTTGATAACAAAGCTCCACTCTCCCTCTCCCCCAAAATACAAGGGACCAAAACCTTAGCAGCAGGCTGGGTCTGGGTCTGGGCCTGTGCTAAGGGCCCAGGGTCAGCTGTGGGCCGTTCAGTCAGTGTGAGTCAGAATCTCCAGAAGTGATTTGTTTTTAAAGCCCTGGTAAGAAAACATAGCAAATCCCTTTCCTTCTAAAACTTATTTTGAAAAGGATGCATGCTCTTTTTATTCTAGTGTTCAGAATGCTTTTCCTGGCAGTGTTGAAAGAATAGGGAGTCGGTTTAGTTCTTGTACCCTTGCCCCAAAAACTCACCGTGGAAGAGAATGCTGCCTCACAGAGACTGCATTGCCACTTTCCAAGAGCGCATCACTGAGTCTCCAAGCCCCACTATGCAGTGGGCACCTTTGCCTTCCTTTCCTTTCAGGAGAAACTTGAAGCATCCAGAGGCTGAAGTGATTTCTGGATTCCATAGACAAAAAAAACACACAAAAAAACCTGAAATAGAATCCAAGATTTCTGGGTCACATTAATGAACAGACCTGGTTTATTCCCAGCCTCTCTCTGGTGTTTCGTAATGATTTGCTGTAATGAGCTATGAGCTACTTACACGTAGTCACCTCCTGAGAAAGGCAGCATCAAGGTGGGCGCCCTCGCCCGGCAGCAGGCGAGCTCATCCCCGCAGCAGAGAGCACTGGCTCTTGAGATGTCAGAAGAGGGAGCGCGCGGCCCCAGGCTGTGCTCCTCACCGGGTGCCACCAAGGAGCAGGTCTGCGATTCGTTTCTCTGCAC